TAGTGATACTGCCTCGGAAACCCAAGGAGGGGTCGCTATGAGTCAGGGCTGACTCGACGGCACATAACAACAACAACAACATGAACTTGAGAGGCATTAGGGAGTAGCTCAATTATAAAAGTGGTGCCACATTTTTCATGATTTCTTGTTTCCTTTGTAAAATTGTAAGGGGAGGGTTGACCAGGCCTAGAGTATTATTAGGAGGTCTTGAGTCTCCTAGGTCCCATATCATTTACGACCCATAAGCCTTACTGCAATTTTTAGATAAATAGATACTCTAAATTTCAGAAATACTATATATTCATAAATAAAGCAGTTTATCACAGTATATAATAAAATAATGGAAATAATTCTAATAGTCAACATTAGAAGTTTAGGTAAATTATACATCCATATTATGGATATTACACAATCACAAAGGTAAAGTTTGTGAAGAGATTTCTCTGACATTGAAAATGTCTTTTAGACAATTTTAATTGAAAATTAAATCAAAGGATTCAAAATTATATATATGTATATGATATACTTCCAAATAGTTGTAACTAGAATAGTAAAAGAGGACACAAAATAGGCACAGTATCAATAATATTTTGGCAAAATATCTAGGATTACCAAAATTAGTGAAATAGTCATCCCTATTCAAAGAACCATTTCCTCTCCCACAATTATTGCTGACATTTCACAGGTAGTAACTTACCTGTTCTCAGGAACACAGCTCCAAAGTGATGCCTGTCATTTTCTTTTTCCTGTTCTCTGGTTGTATAGGTGCTATCTGAGCATGTCTCTTTCCTCTGAATCCTACAGTTAATGATTAGTATTATTATTAATGATGATTACCTCCCATTGATACCTAAATGTGGTTTTGCTAATGCCTTGGGGACCAACACTAATGTTTTAAAAGTGTACAGAAAAAATGGGAGAAACATTTTTCAAAACTTTAAGAATACTTGGCCCTGAGTACTGGGATTATGGTGAATTTTTTTCCCCCTCCTTTTCTAATGTTTTTGAAATTTAAAGCTTTTTCTTTAAAAGACCATGTAATACCAATGTAAATATATAAACAAATGGGAAAATAGTAACAGCACTTAATTGAGGATACTCTAAACTAAGTCACCTCATTGTTTTTACTTTAAATCTTCATAAAGTAACTGGAATCATACTAAGTCTCTTGCTGGAAACAAATATAAAATGGTAAGAGATATGGAACAACTGTTTTCAGATATTGGATAACAGGAGCTAAGGGGTAAATCCCACACAAAAAAGGGAAACAAATAAGGTAAGCTTCATGATGACACTAGTTGGAGCCTGAGCAAAACATAATGGCCTTGCTGAGTTCAGGAAATAGAGATCAATAATTGGTACAGTCAAAACATATGCATATCACGATGGGTCTCTCCTCGTCAAGAGCAAAGAAGAAAA